CCAATTTTAAGAAATAAAGTCTATATAAGCTTGTGTCCGGAAATGCTTCATTTCGGAGATACAGGGTGTTGAAATACAGAGAACAAATCATTTTTCGATAAACATTTCATAGGAAATAAGTAGTTTATTTTGACGAGACCTACCAAATACTTTTTTTGTAAAGTTCTCAGCAACTTCACTTACCGCCCTAGGAGCTAAGTAACATGGATCGATATAGAAAATATCTCCAAAACGATAACTTCCGGCGTAATTGAGACCCTTATAATAATTCCCTTGATACATAAATAACTATTCACTATTTTCACTGTTGAATTTTGAATTTGATCAACACAAAAAACGCCATTCAATAATATATCACGTTGTAGTTTCCTTGCTTTTCTTAGTTTTGTTTTCAAATTTTCAATTTCATTATGTTATTTTGTTCTGTATTTTGTGTGATGATAATAATGGAATTTTGTTCTTGAAATCATTTGCTTTGTAAATTGATGGAACAGCAGATTCTTTCAAACAGATTTTGAAATCTTCTGTTTGGAACTGGTCCTAGAATATAGTTTCATTCTAATCAGATGCTGTTATAAAAAGTGAATTTTAAGGAGTACCTCACAAATTTCGCTCGTCTTCAAATTTATTTTCCACCCAGTTCCATATTTTTCTTCCATAAGCGAATGGTTGATATTTGGTTTTGGAAAATTGAATAAATGATATCCATTTTTTTCAGAATTGGCACAATTTATTACACAGCAAGTGATTTACATGGCTGCTTTTTTCTCGGAAGAATAATTATGAAATTTTATTTAAATTCTGACGTTTATAAAATTTATTGTCAAATTCAAACAATTTTGAATGAAAAAGCGCGGGACGACTATGGTGCTATTGTCACAATGCAAGGTGTGTAACTTGATAAATCTAAACATTCAAAACCCCTAACCGTTGACATTTCTGTGTCCGAACTCTTATCAAACTAATACCATCCAGTGACTCTAGCTTTCTGGAGACCCTTTGAAACAGATTCTTAAAATAATAGTGAATTAGTGTCGAACAAAAATGATTACGAAAATAAGGACATACATGTTCAAAGTCACGTATCGTTTTGAATATATATGAATGCCTGAAGAAAAAAAATTGTTATCTATCGCAGTACGATATTTTGAAGAGAATTTGCGAAAATTAACTAAACTATCTCGTTCAACAGTTCTTCGAGTGATTAAAACTGGGGATGTCATTGGCCACTCTAAAAAACGTAAACGAAGAAATAACAAATTTTCGAAAATTGATGAAACTACGACAGATGTTATTCGGCGAATAATCTATAGTTTCTACGAAGAAAACGAAGTACCTACTTTGGAAATGATTCGAGACAAATTGGTTGATTATCCTGACTACAATTATAAATGTTTGGAAACACTACGGGGTATATTATTGTCATGTGGTTTTAAACACAGGAAAATCAATAATCATATGATAATAATGGAATCTAGAAGAATTGTGGAATATTGGCAAGAATATCTCATGAGTGAGGGTTGCTGGGCTGTGTGCACGTGAATATATACCAAAGAAGGGAAGATTTGTATTTCGTGCAAGATAATTTATTCAAAATATTCGTAGCAGAGCGCTTTCGACTGTTAAGTCATCATCGTGTTGAACAACACGACATGTCGCAGCGACAATGGCTGCTTAACAAAATGTAATCCATATTTTATCATCTTTTGGAAAACACATTTTAATTTGTTTGTAACGTATTTTACCTAAATGTCGTTAGTTTTAAACTGGACCAAAGATGTTTTTATGGACGAATTTCCCTGTTAACCTGACGAGTACGCACTGATGATGACTTAACAGTCGAAAGCGCTCTGCTACGAATATTTTGAATAAATTATCTTGCACGAAATACAAATCTTCGCCTCTTTGGTAAGAATATCTCAGGCAAATGAAAGGTTTTCGTGAACCCAATAGACCTATTGTCTATCTTGATGAAACATGGTTCGACACGCATGATGTTGTGAAATATGGTTGGGTAGATGAAACCAAGCATTGCACTTTGAATGCACCTTGCTCTAGCATTCAAGAAGTGAAGCTGGTTTCATACCTAACGCGTTGCTTGCCCAAGCATCAGCTGGATACCATGAAGACATGACAGCGGATTATTTATTCGAAAAGTGGTTCAATGAGCAGCTTCTTCCGAATATTCCACCGAATTCTGTGATTGTTATGGACAATGCATTCTCGTCTACTAACCAGAATTCCCAATAGTAATACCAAAAAGGCAGACATCGTGAATTTCATGCAGACAAAAAGTATGGATATTCCAGAAAAGCTTCCAACAAAAAAGGTGTTATTGGAGGCAATCAAGAATCAGAATTTCAAGAGGGAATATGTAATATATGCATTATACGAAACAAGAGGCCATACCCTTCTAAGATTGCCCCCTTATTATTGTATATTCAACCCAATCGAAATGGTTTGGTCTACAATGAAAGGAAATCTATGGAAATACAACCAATCACCAACAATGAGTGCATCAGTAGTTGACAATATAGAAAATACCGATATTTGGAGAAACTGCGTCGCTCACGTCATAAAAGGAGAAAACGAATATTATTTGTTAACGTCCATCATGAATCCTATCTACCTGGAAAAGATCCAAAATTCTACCAATTCCCAAGGTGAAGAATCCTGATGACTATAGCTCATTACGCCCTATTAGCTTGCTTTGCGTAATCTCGAAAATTCTTGAGAAAATAATGCATAAACAAATCATGGCCTACCTAGACACGTATGATATCTTACCAGAAACACAATCGGGCTTTCGTAAGGGATACAGCTGTACCACTGCGCTCTTGAAGGTCACCGATGATATCCTTCAAGCACAAGACCAGAAACAGTTAACTTTGCTTATTCTATTGGATTACACCAAAGCGTTCGATTGCATTGAACACGAATTATTATTAGCTATTCTTCATTTCATACGTTTTAACAGCGTAGCCATAAAACTGCTGAAGAATTATCTCTTTGATCGCTATCAATCCGTTGAGATTGACGGAATATCTTCAGAGTTCATTCGCGTGGAGAATGGGGTGCCACAAGGATCAATATTGGGTCCCATCTTATTCATACTCTATACATTTGAATTCCATAAGAGCCTGAGGCACAGTAACTCCCATTTTACGCGGATGATACCCAACTATACATAACCTTCCCGGAGACTAACCGCGATATAGCATGCGATAACCTGAACAACGATCTTCAGTCACTACTTGAAATTTCCAATAAATTCTGCCTCTCCATGAATCCCTCCAAGTCAAAATTAATGATATTTGGTAGAAAAGCCGCACGTTTAAGATGCTCGAATAATATAAATATTTCACTAGCCAATGAACCTCTTACTTTAACAGACGATGCCAAAAACTTAGGAGTCATAATGGATAATACCCTGAGGTACAACAAACATGTATCACTTATCTTGCGGAGGGCATACAGTAATCTCAAATTAATTTTTTCCTAGAGACATCTGCTGAATCAAAAGAGTAAAATCATTCTATCAGAAACTCTGATTTTGTCTCATACTAATTATGCTGACGCTGTCTATGGCCCATCAATCACATCTGATGACAGCAGACGCCTGCAAGTTCTACAGAACTCTTGCATACGTCTGATACATGGTCTTAGACGGCGTGATCATATATCAGAGTATATAAAAAATACAGGCTGGCTAACTATGTACCAACGGAGGATTTTGCACTCGTGCACGCTTTATCACAATGTTATTCATACCAGAAAACCATCCTATTTATATGACAAAATTACCTACCGCACTGATGTGCATAACTTGAACTTGCGACACAGAGCCCAGCTATGTTTACCTCAGCACAGAACCACATCATACCAGTCCTCATTCAGTGACTTGATTGCTCGCTTGTACAATAGGATTCCCGATCTGGCAAAAATAAGGAGTTTAAAAACATTCAAAGAACTATTGAAAAGAAAACTTCTCTCAAATGATATCAATATGTAACAATTTTCTTTTACTGAGATTATACCTTCTCGGCATTACGAAATAATTTTCATTTGAATTTCAATGTAATAATTTTTTATTTGATTAGTAATTATAAAACTAGTTTTTAAGTTAGTGGACTAGAGTGTTAGAGTCCAATCATAAGTTTTTTTTTACAGGTTGAGTGTGAGAGAGTGTATACCTGCTAACTGTGTTAGCAGGCAAAGCGCTAACTCTGCCTTTTGTCAGTGGTTTAACTAATTCAATTTCATGTACCGAGTTAACTAGCCTGGCAATAAAATCTTCTATTATTATTATTATTATTATCATAATTCAACCCAATAACGATTCCACTTCTGAAGAAGACGAAGAAGGAGATTGATGTGTGGTGTGATTGACAGAAGGTACCTATTCGTGATATAAAATGCGCGCCAAATTATCGACTAGGTATATTTTTTATTAAAGATAATACGAGGATTTGCAAAAACTCCCGATATAACAGGATATAATAATTGACATCCCTCTGGTTGTGATACGCATTTCTGGATCAGCCTGAATATCGAATCGAATTCATTGATTTCGAAATCAATAGGCATTCAGGATAGAATCACTTGTATCAGTATTCGTTTATACGAATCGATGCATAGATTTTGGGAGGATGTTTTTCAATGTCCTGCGTGGCATTAGCCAGGGAAGTAATTGATTTTCACCCGAAATCTACCATTGTTGTTCATTTTATGAACATTGTGTGGAAATGACTTTGAGCTTTTTGTATTTATTTACCATTTCATTCCACTTTGAGCATTGTGACTATTTCGTAGTTGAAACTGTGAAGAGATTAGGCTAATCATCGGTGAAAACCGATTTCAAATTGGTAAGGAAATTCGTGAGTTATTCTACTTTGAATTCAGGCTATATTTTGGACCACGACGTTATCAATGTTGACCAGTTTATACCAAAGCTCATGTTTTTTTTTTAATTTTTGCAGCGTCCTCGTCAAGTTCCATAGCCAACTTGGGCTCCCCGAAGCCGGAGAAGCGGCAGGCGAACTCGCCGCTGCCTCCGCCTCCCACCACCGCCACCAACTTCGACTTCCACGCCGTCAAGAACCTTGACGACCTCTACGCCAAAGTGCGCAAGAACAAAGGCAAAGAAGATGCTGCCGCAGACAGGTCAGAGTTTACTTTTTTTAAAGTCTATAAGGATAGTGAAATGGGTATACTTACCCGTGTTTCAGTAGCTGGTTGATGTTCCGGCCAACCCAACCCAACCCAATTTCCTTTTCCTTCCACGCCAAGCTCCCTTCTTTATACAGAATACGCGATGATGAGTTCTCCTCAAGTAAAATTATCCGGAAGTAAAATACCTCTCCATTCGGATTTCCGGGCGAGAGGTGCTAGAGGGGGTTCACCATCGGCTGAAAAAGTCCTCAAGATAGACCTATGTAAAATCCGACGTCTAAGTAAGAACATCAACGATGTCCATCGACACCTCCAAATTGAAAAGCCAGACATATTGGCTCTTACTGAGACACAGGTCAATTCATCCACCAATACGACCTATCTGCTCTGTCCTGGGTACGAACTCCACACACGTTTCAGATTCAAGGGAGGTCTCTGCCTCTACTCTAAAACGAATCTCTCATGTCAACGAGAAAAAACTTTGCAACCAAATAAGTTTGATGTTATGTGGTTCAAACTCGATAGCCAGAAACAGACCAAATACCTTTTTTGTCTCTACTTATCACCAAATGATCCATCCTATGAAGAGCTCTTCGAATTCTTGTCTCTGAAGCTTGACCAAATTCAACAGAACCATCCAGCAGCAGAAATCATCATCATGGGCGATTTCAATGTACATAACACTGCTTGACTCGTACACTCTAACAGAACGGATGAAGCTGGGCGACAAGCCGAAGCTTTCGCCATCACTGACGGCTTAGATCAGCTTATCAAAGAACCCACACGAATTCCCGATGCCAATAACCATTCAGCCAACATACTTGACTTATTCCTCACTAATAATTCAGCACCCTACACCATAGATGTACGAGCTCCACTTGGCGATTCTGACCAGACACTCATCTCCACAACCTGCCCATTTTTCATTCCATCAACTGCTCCAGCACCCCCACGTCTTATATGGCATTACAATTCAGGAGATTGGGACGGTCTCCGCATGTTTTTCTCCGAGTTTCCTTGGCATAGAGTATGCTTTGACTCTGAGGACCCTTCACAGTGTGCTGCGGAAATATCCGAGATCATCATGCTCGGAATGGACACATACATACCTCATTTTTCGAAAAGATCATCACCTTCGAAACCCTGGTTCAACAAAAACTGTTCTAGAACTGTTGCCTTGAAACAAACAGCCTACCATCGCTGGCGCAAAAACCCTAACCTCGCGACTAGAGCAGAATACGTTGATGCCAGGAATAACTGCAGCCAAACAATAGATGCTTCGAAAGAAACATACAATGCCAAGATAAGATCGAAACTCATAGATTGCCCCAATGGCTCCCGTTCGTTTTGGTCCCTTGCTAAAGCGGTGGTTAGAAATTTCACCAATAGTTCATTTCCACCACTATCCAAATCCGACGGCACATTTGCAACAACATCGCAGGAGAAAGCAAATATTTTTGCAGAAATGTTCGCAGCAAACTCTACATTAGATTCCCAAGGAAAACTGCCGCCAGACATTCCACCCGTTGAGAGTCGAATACCCGAAATCGTCTTCCGTCAACGCACTATCAGACGAATTTTGCTTGGTCTCAAAACGAATAAGGCTAACGGTCCGGATGGAATTCCACCCATTATCCTCAAAAAATGTGCACCAGAATTAACACCGATTCTCTGCAAGTTGTTTACCATCTCGTACAGGTCGGGTATTTTTCCATCATGCTGGAAGACAGCTAGAGTCCAACCAATCCCCAAAAAAGGGAACAAGAACCTGTTCAACAACTACAGGCCCATTGCCCTGTTATCAGTAATCTCCAAAGTGATTGAGAAAACCATCAGCATTGAGCTTATCAAATATCTGGAGAGCTCGGGAATCATCAATGATAGACAATACGGCTTTCGCCACCGAAGATCTACTGGAGATCTACTTGCCTACGTCACCCATTTATGGCAATCTTCAATAGAAAAACACGGGGAATCTCTAGCTGTCGCGTTGGACATATCGAAAGCATTCGACCGTGTTTGGCATGAAGGACTCCTCCACAAACTACCATCATACGGCTTACCACCTCAGCTATGCCATCTCTTATAGAGTTTTCTTTCAGGCAGATCGCTTCATGTGGTGGTGGACGGTGTATTGTCTGATACCATTGGCATCAATTCCGGCGTTCCACAAGGATCAATTTTGGCACCAACATTATTCCTGCTTCATATCAATGATCTGTTGGGAGTAACAACTTGCCCCATCCACAGCTTTGCAGATGATAGTACCCTCCATACTGCGTTCTCTTCCAGAATTCCCATTTCTCCCCAGGAAACTGAGAACTCACGACGCAGGCAGGTCAATGCTGTCAATGAAGATCTTGCTGAAATCACATCCTGGGGAACAAACAACCTAGTTGAATTCAACGCCACCAAAACTCAAGCCTGCATTTTCTCTAGAAAGGCGGAACTCAGTATGCCCGATATTGTAATGTCTGGCTCCACCATCCCCACCAAGCCCACCATATCTATGCTCGGTATTTCCATCAGCAACACTCTTTCATGGGATAATCATGTCAGATCCATCGCAAAAGCTGCTTCACAAAAACTCGGATTCTTGTTCCGTGCGAAAAGCTACTTTACACCTCAACAGCTTCTCATGATCTACAAAGCGCAGATACGGCCTGTTCTAGAATACTGTTCCCACATATGGGGTTCAGCACCAAAACATACGCTGATGCTCTTAGATTCCATCCAGAGAAGAGCCATTCGCCTGGTGGGTGACGCCACACTCACTCACTATTTGACATCATTGGAACACCGTAGAAAGGTCGGCGACCTTTCACTTTTCTATCGATACTTCCACGGGAAATGTTCTTCGGAAATCTCTGCTATCATTCCTTCACTAGCAATACCAGTCAGACGAACTAGACAAGCCCAGTCAGCACATCCTTTCGTTGTCAACCTCGAAAGATGTCGAACCGCACTTTATCAAGACTCCTTCATCCATAGAACGGCTAGGCTCTGGAATTCATTGCCTGTGGAAGTATTCCCAACAACATATAATCTCCAAAAGTTCAAAAAAAATTCCAATACCTACCTCCTGTCCCTATCCTCCCTAGGAACGCACGATGTTCTTTGAACATTATAGGGATTCCCTTTCGTGCGCTCCAAGCGATAAAAAAAAATAGTGGGTGGAAACGGGAGTTTTGTTCATTCTTTCAAACGTCAGGAATGGGTAGAGTTCCTAAATGTAGTTGACACTGCTGTATTGACGATTTTTGTATATTAGAGTACGGACACTATGACAAGCACTGACAATCAGACATAACCACAAATAAATTAATGGAAAAGGCGAGAACTGGCAGTACACGGACATAACATAAATTCCAAAGGTTTGAAAAATTGAGAGAATTAGGAGGAAGATGCAAGTTTGTGCAGTTTACAACTGAGAACTCTGGAAATCAATTCACTCTATTCGAATTTCCATCGGATAACGTAATTCTACAAAAATGGGAAGAGAATATGATGTGGCCGGCATGGAATATAGGTTCAGGCCACAAAATTTGAGAGGTACTCAAATGTCTTGGTAGGATATAGAACAGTTGTCAACGCATTTTTATCAGGTACACTTCAGTACGGAAGATTTGATGTTGAAGAATAGGATCGTATTGAGAAAAAGAGCCGAACCCACAATTTATAAACTGAGCGAGTATCGAAAAGATTCTTATTCCAATTTAGAACCAACAAGAAACGAAAAACTTGCAGATGATGAAGTTCATTTCGAACATATTTTGAAAGAAAAACAAATAGAAGAAAAAATAGAGAGTTGGAAAATAAGTTGAAACAAGAAGATTTAAATACAAAAGTCAGAGTTAGCAAATTTCAGAACTATTGCATAAAAATTATTTCAGATTTGAAACAAAATCGGCAAATATCTTCAGACAAAAACATGAAACTTGAACAAGCAAATATTCAGGCAATTTTAAGCAAAATTCATACTTTCGATTAACAATACTATGAAAAACGTTTGCATTTGAAAAATCGAATGGAAGATTTGAATGACAAATTGAATAATATTATTAAAAATATAGCATGATTCATGTTCATTTATTAATTACCTATTTATTACCTACCACTCTTGTACAAGTGAAATTGTTCCATAGGAAATAAAAGTATGTTTCATTGGTTGAAACTTATTTCATAGAAATAGTACCTATATGTATTTCGCTGGTATATAGATATCTTCATACCAACTTGATATCGATCTCCATTGAGGTACTTCAGACTTATCATTCAATATTTCGAGAAGAAATAATTTTCTAATCAATTTATCGTACCCTTTTACCGACTCGAGGAGACGCTATGCACTCTCATACAAAAATCAAAGACATAGAAAGATATATGGATGTACTCTTCCCAGGACTTGTGGAGGAAGGAAGATGCGAGGATCCTTTATCTAAGCGAAAATCATATACTCTTCCTTGTCTGGCAAAACATATGATTTGTTTCAAAATCGTTTGTGGTTATGTTTGATTGTCACTGCCTGTCTAGTGTCCGTTCTCTAATATACAAAAAACGTCAAAACAGCAGTGTCAAGTACATGTCAGTCATTTGGTGACGGAAAGCACGGGATTCAGGAAAAAATTGCTAAAGATTTTTTCTCGACTGATCTATATGATTTTTGTGGTGCTGAATCTGAAAATCTAGTTATCGACCAGATTCGAATATGGCTTCACCACGAAAATCGCACTAAACCATGGAAATTCGGGACTTACTTCAATGTTTTGCTATTAACTCCGAAACGACGTGATTTCGAGAAAAAATACATCAAACGAAAATGAAAGCCTATAAAATCTACTGTGAAACAAGATCGGCTTGATATCTTGTTCGATTCAGGCGCTAGAGCGCCCTGAAAATTGACAATTTTGACAGTTTTAGAGTTGTCCAAAATATTCATATTCAAGATTTTGAATTAGTATACATCGCCAGGCTAGTGTTTCCGCCTAGTGTGTCTCACCTTGGAGTATCCTGAACCTCCTTAACATTTATTTTATGCCTTCTTTTTTAATTTCCCTCCAATAATATACATCAATTATGCTTCATTCTGAATCTAGTACGAAAATTAAAATTTGTCCAGTACTATTTTCTATCCTCTTGGAACAACCCCGAATGACACACAGTTAGTTGCTAAGTGATTTGTTTAAAAATGTATGTTATTTTTCCATTTTTCGTTCGTTAAAATGCCTAATGGAACCGAAATTGTGAGTGTGCAGGGAGGGTTGAAAGCCATTGTGAAAGCTACTGAAAAAAAAAGGCTAAAGAGAGCAATCCTCTGCGCAATTACGATCAGCTAAACATAGTTCTGCATTTCAAACTCATTGTTTACTGTGTGGTAATGAAATTCCGAAGAACTATGCTGCGACAAAAAAAAGTTTGTCTTCATCTGCACGTGACCCTGTCTATCAGGTGAGAACGATGAATGTGAGAGGTAATGTTATTCAACATGCCAGTACATTAAATGATTATCATTCCCGAGCCGTTGAACACCGTTTAGGACCTGGTTGCTGCTGGTGGTCATTACCATCGTTCTTGTCTGAAATACGAATATTTTGAATAACTTGAAATCCATGGTCAATATTTTTTGGTAAATTTCATTTGCCTTCATTTTTATCTGCGCTAATTTTTCTCTATATCGAGTCGTTTCAGAGTTATGAGCGAAAAACTAACACAGCTCCCGATTTTTTATAATTTTATGCCATTTTCATGGTGAAGCCATATCCGAATCTAGTGGATAACTGAATTTTCAGATTCAGTATCCCAAAAAAACATATGGATCCGTTGAGACAAATTTTTTAGCATTTTTTTCCTTTCCAAACTACCAAATGATTGGACTATATACTGAAGTTGAAATAATCAGCCAACACCAAAACCTGAAGCTCTGGAATAAGCACATTCATTACTTTACAAATTCAGATATTATTTCAGATATTTTGGGATTTTCTTTCCTCGTCTCTATAAAATAAAAATATGAATACTGTTTCAATATACGTTTAGTGAGCACAAATCAGATGATTAGCCCAAAAATGTCACTGCGTTTAAAGCATTTTCCTATCAGAGAGGCTAAAAGAAAAATTCATTAGCTTGTCAGTAACAATTTGTATTGAAAAAGGTTTGGAGAAAAGGAATAAAGGTATATAAAAAAATATCAAATTTTCACTTATCTTTGGACGTTCCGGGAACAAATCTGCTCCCGTTTTCAACATGAAAAATTGTTTTTTTTTTGTATGGCATTTAAATTCAGATCTCTTTGGAAATATTTCGGGACAACATCCTCCTGGCATATATTCAATGTTAGACATTGGCGACCGCGAATAAGATGTTGTACAACAAATCTCTCAGCAAAATAATTAATCCTTGTGGTGAGGATTGCTTCCTTCATCTTTTTCAAAGTAATTAATCGAAAAAAATACTGTGAAAGAATTTATTGTTGGGGCCGATAGTGATTCGCTATTTCAATGATGTTTTTTTCGCTTCGCTCACGGCCGAAAATTTTCTGTAAATTTCTTTAAGCACGGATTATTTGTTGCGCCCTGTCGTCTCTAGATGCTTCATTTCAGGTCAGATTGAATTCGTGCGCCGTGTTCACACAGAGCTAATATGCGATTTTGATAGCGACCACCACCACGCCCCCCGAAAGGTTGAATGCCCAGGATCAAGTGCCGCCATATAACTAGCTTACGTTATATGATAGCTCCTCATCCCCATGTCCATCCACCCCCACTTACTAACGAGTGGACTTCAACCTTATGCATTTGGCAATCTGCATATGTTTTATATAACCCCTTACTTGGTTTCAGTCTTCCGACTTTTAAACCTTTTTGTCTAATGTGTGTTTCCTAGCCTGACTTTGCGTGGTGGTTCCCTACCCTGATGGGAAGCAAATTTGAGTTTATGTATTATTATTATCATTATTGGTTGACTTTTTTTTATAGAGTATCAAAGGAGACTCTTCTGTTTAATTATCTGATAATTAATATGCAACTTTATTGATATTGATTTAATTTCGTTCCTTTATCTTATATTTGGTGAATTGGGCGCCTGTACTTTATTCTTCCGAAGCGCGGGTCTTGATTTAGTTGTCTATTAGTCAGGTCGTGCAGTGGCGGGTTCTCGTGGTTTTCCGTTCTTCCGAATGTAGTCTCCGCGTGTTGTCTTATGTAGTTGTCTATGTAGTCTGGGTTTATGTTCAGGTCCCTATAGATAAATCTATTTGGGATATACCATGGGGCGTTTACTGCAATCCTTATTGAGACATTCAGAAATGCCTGTATTCGCCTTTTGTATGTTTCTGCGCATTGGCCCCATGCACTTGATGCATACAATATTATAGGAAGTAGAATGGTTCTTATTGGGCGCAGCTTCAACTCTAGTGACATGTTGCTTCTGCGACCTATTAGGTTCTCAATAAAGGATGGGCCCTTCATTAAATGACACCAAATGTGGAGTTCGTCAAGGCCAACTATAATGTGAAAAATATTTTGATAAAATCAATTCGTTTTTGTTTTATACGCAAAAAAACAGATTTTCATCATTTTCATGTCTCCTCCGTAACTCCTTTATTTATGAAAATATTCAAATAGGAATTTCACATTCTCATGGCAGTTTTTCAAAGTGATTTCGAAAAAAATATAAAATTCATACCAACTCTTCTAGAATTTGAGATATCAGCACCAACTTTAGTGTTTCAAATGTAGGTCATAGCTCACTATGACCTAGTTACAAATAAATTTTTCTTCTCTCTCAAATGATATGTAGCAGTAATAGTTTTGTGTTGATAACAACGTCAGTTATCGGAGTTATCGGAGTTATCGTCATTTATACAAAAATAAAAAATGATTTGGAAGCCGCCATCTTGAATTTATAAATTTTAACAAGAAAACCATGATCTACGACCTCAAAAATCACCAATTTTGAATGGAATCGGACCAAATCTTGTCCGCCATCTTGGAGCAGCCATTTTTTTTCAATTGATGGCGGACAAGATTTGGTCCGATTCCATTCAAAATTGGTAAGTGGGGATATTTGAGGTCGGAGAGCATGATTTTTTTGTTGAAATTTATAAATTCAAGATGGCGGCTTCCAAATAATTTTTTGTTTTTGTATAAATGACGCTAACTCCCTTGTTATCAACACAAAACTATTACTGCGACATATCATCTGTAAGAGAAAAAAAAGTTATTTGTAACCAAGTCATAGCTATGACCTACATTTGAAAAACTGAAGTTGGTGCTGATATCTCAAATTCTAGAAGAGTTGGTATAAATTTCATATCTTTCTCGATATCACTTTGAAAAACTGCCATGAGAATATGAAATTCGTATTTGAATATTTTCATAAATAAAGAAGTTACGAAGGAGGCATGAAAATGATCAAAATCTGTTTTTTGCGTATAAAACAAAAACGAATAGATTTTATCAAAATATTTTTTCACATTATAGTTCGCCTTGACAAACTCCACATTTGGTGTCATTTAACCGACCTCGTATCTCTCACCGTTAAAAAGATACCCATGGTGAGCATGGTAAGTGGGACACACTGTATGTATTGACTGGAATGAGACGTTATTTTAAGATTGGCTACTTTACATGGAATTATATATTTGTATTTTTATTTTCTGATTAGTCGAAAAGTATAAACTAAATTATGTATGGATATCTGATGACTAATCAGGACTTAACAAATATACAGGGTGACTCTGTTTTTTGTAGCAGGCCTTCAACAGCTTGAAAAACACATATTTTCGAGTTAAACAGTTCATTCAAGGATTCAAAGTTCGAGATTTTTTCAATGTTTTTCAAGTTCTCTATTACGATTTTCAAAATGATGAATTGCAACTATTACACTTGAAAAACTCAGAATTTGGGGCTATTAGGCGATTTTGATTAACTACAAATTTAACCCTCTTGAACTTTTTTACTTGCTGCCTCTGCTTTCAATGAAACATCAATTTAGATTCTCTGTTCTATTGGGATACTTTTTAGTCTTTTATATATTTTCATAATTTGTGATGAAACTTGATTTTTTGAACACTATTTGACATTTCTCAGTAATTGACTAGAAGAATGTTATGAATATGGCGGAAGCAGATGAGCAGCGTAAAAATGTGCTCTGTAAAAGGTGCGTTCGGTTATAACATATCTGTTAGCTCGATTCCATCTGTTAGCTCGGAAAGCGTTCGATAAATCAGATCTACTTCCTCTGTCTAATCTGCTCCGTGTTCGTTAATTGTCAGAGCGAGCTGAAAGATGTAATCTGTTTGCTCCGCCTTGAGGAGCAGATCATTCAGATTTGATCGGTTATTCGGTTGTCAATTGTCAACAAATCAATGTCAACAACATGTTATTGAAATTATATCTCTTTTATGACGAAAAATTGAAGACTCGATCAACTGGAAACGAAACACAAAACTGAATTTTGTAGAATCCTCATTGCCCAGAATCGCCAGAATGACCGACGAATTTGCTGTAGGTAGCATATTAATTATATATCTGTAATATATGCGATCACAACTGCCCTGGATCCACAGTTAATGACCGATCATATTAGACAGAATCATTCCTTCCCTAGTAATTTTCAAAATATAAACAACAAACATTCAAAAAAACTTTGTTGCCCTGAAGTGTTTTTAAAAGTAATAAGGTTAAGTGAATTGTTTCTGTTGTGTTACTTCTGCAATCTGCAATCTACTACCTCGTTGAGCGTTCGTTAAATATCTTTAGCTCTATCTGCTAGGTGATCACGTGACACCAAATCTGCATCTGCTCGCTCGGCTCCGATTTTGTTAAACCGAACGCACCTAAAGTTACTGAAGATATGTTCAAAGAAAAGCAGTTCAAATGTTGCCAATCTAAACAGAATAAAAACATTGTGTGTGTCAAGTGTGGATGCATTTATCACCTCTCTTGTGCAACAAGAAACAAGCTAGAGTGTACTAAAATTTGTGACACAAGAATCATTTGCAGCAACTGTCAAGCAGATATTCAAGGACAAGAACCCAGTACTAGTGAGACATGTGAAAAATTAATACTCGAAATCAATCTACTTAAAATAATCCTGAAAGAGAAAGATGATAAAATCAATCTGTTGATAGAAAATAATCAATTATTAAAACGAAACAACATTCTATTAGAAGAAAAATTAACTAGCCAACAAAAGATCGAAGACACCAACAAAAACTTGTCTACCACGACGGTACAGAAGAAAAAATCTTTTAACGAAGTTCTGAAAAAAAACTCACAAGTGATAAGAAACGTGTCATTGCCAGGACCAGCTGATGAACTGAAACAAAACCAAAACAAGATAAATAATGACTCATTGGAAGATAAACAGAAGGAAATAATGAATGGATTGATTTATGCAGATAAGGAAGACCTCACGAATGGGAAGACATCAGGTGATGAAGGTTTTACTACTGTGAGTTACAAAAAAAGAGTCACGAAAAAGAAGCTTGGAGAAAATGAAACTCAAAATGATTTTGGTATTCAAAAAAAAGTATGGCTTTATTTATACCGGATCAAGCGTCATGTTACAACCGAAAAAATAAGAAAATATATCCAGGATCAAGATAATTTTCAAAATGCAGAGATAACTATCAAGGAATTACCAACTGTTGAATCACAAAACAAATGTTTTATGTTCGGAATAGATTTCAGTTATAAAGATGAGATTTATAAATCTTCAACATGGCCAAAAGCGGTAGCTTATAAAAGGTTTGATTTTAGAAAATTTAATCAGTACAACCAGCAAAATGAGGATTTTTAAAAAACTCCTCAACTAGTTCAACTACATTCTCAGCTAATGACGCTGGATTAATCAGTATGAGTGAAAACAGTCTGAATATTCTTCATCAAAATGAAGGGACATCGAGTAAAAACACTACAAATGGACATCTCGTAATTGTGAATTCAAACATACAAGGTGGTCTTGCAAAAAAATCGGATGATCTCAACATTATAGTACAAACCCAGAAAGCAAATATATTATGCATTAGTGAGCATTGGCTCAAAAGTGAGGAATTAAAAGTGACGCCTATTAAAGATATGAAACTTATATCATATTTCACAAGGAAGCACATGCGACAGGGAGGCGTGTGCATTTTCGCAGATTATAATACTTATATGGAACAAATCACTATAAATACATGTGTAGAAGGGGAATTTGAAGCCTGTGGCGCAAAAATGAAGTTGCAATATATGAATAAACATATTTATCTTATTGTTCTCTACAGACCACCAAATTATAAGAACTTCAATAATTTTATATATCAGTTTGATGAATTATTACATAGTATATACAGGAAGGAAAATATTTATGTCATTTGTGGAGATATTAATGTAGATTTTTTAGCAAATACTGATGAGAAACAAAAAATAGTAAATATGTTGGGTGGATATGGCATTAAACATCATATCAATGAGGCAACGAGAATAACATCTACTTCTGCAACATGTATAGATAATATTTTTTCAAACAGGAACGAGTGCACTACGAGCGTAAGCCACTCGTTTTTCTCGGACCACACATATCAGGTATGCTCGATTGATAACATATTGCATAACAATGATGAAAATAATCACAAACTACAAAAGAGATATCTCAGTGAATCCAATATTCAAGATTTTCAAAATCTATTAGCACGAGAGAACTGGAATGAAATGTACTTGACTACAGACTTTCAAGAGCAACTTTCCATATTTCATGACACCTTCCTCTATTATTATAACTGTGCGTTTCCTATTAAAACCCTATGTACAAAAAACAATAAAAAAAAGTGGTATACTCCAGAAATCAAGCAAATGCATGCCCAGCTTTGTGAGATGAGTAAAATAAGTAAAGCTTTAAATAATCCTTGGTATACAGAGAAATACAAACAATTCAAGAAAGAATATAGATCGCAAGTTATAAGACATAAAAAAAGTGCAAATAACGATCGTATTCTGAATTCAGATAATATCGTACGTGAGAGTTGGAAAATTATAAAAGAAACTAAAGATGGTGGTTCAGCAAGGACAAATTTTGCTGGATTTCTGGAGGGAGGAACCTCTATGGAACAAGCGAATTATATAAATGATTATTTTTCTGATTGTAATGAAAATCGTCAGGTGCCTAACTGCGATACATGTATTGAAGGGGTACACACAAGTTTCTTTCTAACTCCAACAACACCCGAAGAAATACTAACATTAATTAAAAAAACCACTGCTAAATCTACACCCGGTTCAGATGATATTGATGGTAGAGTAGTCAAATCGGTCGCCACACTAATTGCTAAACCGCTTTGCGATCTGGTGAATAATTCTTTTTCTCTTGGACTATTCCCAAACATCAAACAGTCCAAAGGAATACCAATTTATAAAAACAAAGGATCTCTTCAAGACATAAAAAATTACAGATTGATCTGTATACAAAATCAGTTTTCTAAAATTTTTGAGTCAGCGTATTGTCAACGGTTAACAAACTATTTGGAATGTTTTAAATTACTCCCTGACATACAACATGGCTTTAGACAAAAAAAGTCCACTACAACTGCTATCCATGATACACTTGAATTCCTGTATGAATCACTCAACGCTAAGGAAAATCCATTATGTCTATTTTATGATTTGAGTCGTGCTTTCGATACAATCGATCGCGATTTATTACTGCTAAAGTTAGAGGCTGTGGGTGTACGCGGTGTATCTCTCGATTGGGCAAAGTCCTACCTATCTGACCGTACACAAATTGCAATGTATGAAAATACTAAGTCAGGAATAAGGGAATCCAATTTAGGAGTACCGCAAGGGTCAATATTGGGACCCTTATTCTTCATCATTTTCACTTCTGATATCAAAAATTACTGCAACTATCCTGATAAAATTATATTATATGCTGACGACACTAATATTTTGATGTCCAATAGTAACATTGAACAACTAGTCACAAATAGTAATGCAGCTTCTAGTCAGTTTCATGGATATTGTACTCTGAATGGTCTGGAATTGAATGTCACAAAAACATATTTCATGAGGTTCATACCAAGAAATGTCACACCTAACTATAATCTCTACCTGCATATCAATAACAAATCAATCAAGGGAACAGATAACATTAAATTTCTAGGTGTTACTCTTGACCCGAAGTTATCGTGGGACGCTCATATAAAAACTGTATGCTCCCGGCTAAGCACATGTTGCTATATGATCAGGAATCTTAGAGACACGGTTTCTTTCGAGGTATTAAAACTACTCTATTTTGGACATGTTCAATCAGTTCTACAGTATGGACTAGTGTTCTGGGGGTCATCTTCACATGCTGATAAGGCTTTCAGTGCACAGAAAAAAATATTGAGAACTATGTTTGTTGGATGATGCACAATAACGAAGACACACTATTATAATATTAACACTTTACTTATAAACAACCCAAGATCAATAATACACATATAAACAATAAGTAGTTATAGAGAGCAACACAGCGGTACAAGGCACGTATGTATTCTGACTTATCGAATAGATACTTGGACATGATTCGCTGGTGTGAGTCGTTGGTGACTAATTAGCTCTGGAAGTCTGTTACGAGGGGAAACCGAAATTCGGCTACACGCCAACACGGCCATCCTGAGGTTGGGACGTTCTCGGCCCAAGTGCTCGGTTTCATCCTGATCATTCCAATTATTATTTCACACTTCTTCAGCCTGAAAATTGAATGTTTTAAGTTATGCCGCACATATATTTTTTAGATTTGAATGAAAGCACATTTTGCTCAACACACCTTGCCATACGGCCCAGGTGCAAACCCACCTTGCCATACGGCCCAGGTGTAAACCCACCTTGCCATACGGCCCAGGTGTAAACCCACCTTGCCATACGGCCCAGGTGTAAACCCACCTTGCCATACGGCCCAGGTGTAAACCCACCTTGCCATACGGCCCAGGTGTAAACCCACTTCTTATATGGTATTCGCACAACGATAACGCCAACACGGCTATCCCAGGAATCGAGATTAAACAACATTAGAATAATAATTACCACAATATCATTGCTGTCCTCGTTGGTATAATAACTTTGTAAAAGATCTGTACAATCTTCTGGGGTCCATTCCTTAGTCCAGAGACGCATTTGACTTGCGACAGCTGCCGTCGTTTTCATGGATTCCGCAACATCGCCAACTTTGCGCAGCTCGTATCTGTTATGGGGTAAGACGTTGATCACCTTGTATGGTCCACTCCATCCTGATTCTAACTTTCTGGGCTTGAGGGAATCTCTCGATATCAATACGTAATCATCTATATTGAAAGACTTCGGTACTGATGATGACTTCTTTTCAGCATAGTTTTCTTGGGAAACTGCGTTTTCCTTGATACGTGAATTCACGAATTGTCGCCATTTTTCACGTTGTACGTCAACCAAAGGAAGCTTGTCTTCTGATGCGTTATCAATGATGCGCTTTATTTCCGGCAATCTGTTATCACAACCGAATAAAGTTTGTAAAGGGGTTCTTCTGGTCGTTTTATGGACAGTTGAATCAATTATAAGCTGGATACGGGATATCATGGAACTCCATTCTGCTGTTACGTCAGCTTGTACCCGTAGTAGATTTGCGAGAAAACTCATATACTTTTCAACTTGACCATTGGCTCTATGCATATAAGGCGTGACGAAGTGCCATTCAATTTCCCATTCTATCAAGAGGGCATGATTCTTCATGGCCCTCAGTGAAGTACCATTATCGGTTATGATTCGTGATGGTGTGCCAACCAGAAATATAATGTCTTGTAAGCAATCTGCCATATCGTCCGTTTTCAGACTCTTGACTGCATACAGGAACGTGTATTTGGAAAATGCATCTACTGCCACGAAAACATGTGTGAATCCATTTTCTGTTTTCGGCAAAGGGCCAAAACAGTCTATGTGGATGGTATGGAATGCGATGTCGATTTTTGGAATTGAGTGGATATCGTTAAGGGCCCGCTTAGGCGTACGTTTTCGGGTGAGGCAAGTTAAACAAGACTGAATGTACTTTTTCACAAATTGATGCATCCTAGGAAACCAGAAATGAGAAGAAATACTTAAAATTGTTTTATCTAATCCAATATGAGCTTGCCCATCATGATACTCCTTGACAAGGGCGTAACGTGCATTTTTCGGTACAAAATATTGGGTGATTTTTTCGGAATTGATCTCGCTCAAATGACATAGGGTACTACCAATAACACAAAATTGTTTTTTGTCCAATTCCCCATTCACCAATTTCTCTTTCAATTCTGAAGTTTCGCTGTCCGTACTTTGTTGTACAAATAACCAACCATTTGGCATCAAATTTTGTTCTTCTGTATCCTCGTCATCGGGAGCGGCTTCGGAGATGTGATTGATTTTGGTAGATACTATGGGATCGCCGCTGGTAAGCTTTGGTGGG